TCTGCCTATCTAGAGGCAGAGCCAGCTGTACCCGCCCCCGCCCCCTCCCCCGTCCGTTCCGCCAGTCAGCGCTGGCGGATCGGAGGGGGGAATCCAGCCCCTCCCCTGTCACGGCAGAGAGCCGTGACGGGATCGAGAGGTGAGCGAACGCCGGTATGTGTCACAGGTCGGCTAGAACTATGAGGTGAGTGAAAAGCACTCACCCCATAGTTCTCCTTTAAGGAAGTAACAGATTGGGCTAATAATGGAAAATCACCAAGTGTAAATTCAATTAATTTCAAATACATTCAAACCTCACAAGATCTTGCAAGTTACCATTTCATACTATTTCATTGAAGGGCTTATATATACTCTAAGGCCTCATTCACACGAGAAAAGGCCGGCACGTATAGCTCCGTGCTGCATGTACCGGGCAGCTCCCGGGAAGGACAGGTGCTGCGTGCGATTAGTGCGCAGCCCTTGCCCTTCTCTATGGGAGTACGCGGCCATACGCTCACCCCAAGTGCAGGTCCGTGTGGGTGTCCTGGGTCGGATGCAGACAGGAACCTGGACGTGCAGGGCGGGTGAGCGCACAGTGGCGTATGGCCACGTACTCCAATGGAGAAGGACATGGGCTGCGTACTAATCACACGCAGCACCTGTCCTTCCCGGGAGCTGCCCGATACGGCCATGCACGCAGCACAGAGCTGTACGTGCCGGCCTTTTCTCGTGTGAATGAGGCCTAAAGTATACCTATAACCAAAACTTTATTTTTTGTGTTGGATAGAGTAGGGAATGGATAGAACCACTCTCATGTTTTATTGGTATCTTCTCTATTTGTCCTTTGACAACTGGAACAAATGTAGCCACCTTGCCCAAAGTGGTGTGACCCCTTAAATTTAGTTCAGCTTGTCTATATTTAGTGTAAGCTTATTTAATAGTTATGTGCTCATTTGGTTTCCCCTATGCCCAGTGTTATCGCTTTGTCCTGCCTGCTGCTGGGTGTGACCTGGCAATAGAGCTAGAACATCCAACAATGCTGTTATCAATATTTGTATCTCCCTGGCCAATTACTAGGAGGTTCATTGGCAGTGGAAGAGGACATAAATATTCGTGGCTGTTTCTTAGGACTGCTTTCTAGAAAGGTCCAATGTGCTATGCTGTAAGCTCTGGGTTTAGGTCTGAGATCACATTGCCTTGCTGGAGGTAGTTTCCCAGAAGGAGTGGAGCTGTTCCTATGAAGGAGTGGCGGGGAGAGTGTTGGAAGACGAAGCTGAGTGAAGTCCAAAACCTTGGTGACTCTCCTGGGAGAACAAGATGAAGTCTGGTAACCAGCTAAATTCTGTCATACACAGTGTTGGCACATTCAGCTTAAAGGCTCTTTGCACTGTGAAGGTGGGAAATGGTGAATCTGGTGTCTGAGATGTCCTTAGGGTCTATAGCCCTTAACCCTCTCTCCCACGTGAGCTGTTGGAACAAAAAAATAATTATAATTAAAACCTCTTAAAGTGACTGGTGCCCAACTTTACATTTGCATCCCACAACCAGCTAAGGACTTACCCCTGAGGTGAATTGTCAACCCACCCTGCCTCTGGGGTCCCACACATGCCTTTGGGGATCAGGGGGATGCTACACAGAAAGTGATGGGAAATCAAAAATGTTACAGTTGTCACCATAACAGGTGGTGATGGGAAATCTTGCAATGGGGACAGATCTGGCAGTGTCAACTGTCTAAAATGGGAATTTCCACACTTGGGGGAGAGTTCTTCTTATTTCCTGTTGTGCCTTCTGGACATTAAGGGAAATCTCACCAATTGGACCAGTACAGAAAGAAAAAAAGGCCATCCTTATTCTATCCACAAGAAGAGAAAATGTTTTGGCTATAGATACACTTTAAAATGGAACTCCAGCTATACAGATTTATATATACTTATATTGGTCGCGTTTGGCACATTGTAAGTATGCATAAATTATCCTCAGGCCAAGGGGATCCTGTAAAACACTGCAGTAGTAACAGCTACTGCAGTTTTCCGGATCCTGTACAGCCACTGCGCTGGTTGACTTCCCATCTGCTGCAAAAAACAGAGGGTCGCTTGCTCGGCACAGCGGCAATTCAGCAAACACCTAGTATTTCAATAAATAATACTTGCCGTTCTCTGATTGGACGTGGCATGCTACTGTGATGTCACTACCCCTCCTCCACTCAGAAAACACCTAGTATTCATTGGTAAAAAATACTAGGCACTCTCTGAATGTCCGCTGTGCTAAGTGAGTGACACCTGTGTTTTCACAGAAGGTGGGAAGTCGCTGTTCCTATAAGATGCTGTAATACTCTGTAGTAGCTGCAGCTATTTCAGTGTTTTAAAGGGTCCCCGTGGCCCTCCCAGGGATAAATTATGCATACTTACTTTGTGCCAAGCTGGAGCAATATAAGTATATATAAATCTTTATAGCTGACGTTCAGCTTCAATGATACCTATATCTTCCATTCTCTCACGTATAATTTTTTAGTTTCTCTCTTGTTCTAGTTTCCATTCTTTTCCTCTATCTCACTTTCCTCCTCCTTTCTCTGTCTCATTTGTACCTCTCTCCCTCTCCACGTTTCTCCAATACAAGTCTTCTGCTTTTCTCCATGCCTCCCCTACCACAACCATATTTTACTCTCTCTTTCTCTTCCTCACCTTTCTATTCTAGTCACACCAACACTCTGTCTCTTCACGTCTGTCTCTCCTCCATCTTCATGCCTTCTGTCCACAATCCCCCCCACCGCCTTCTCTCATTTTCCCCGGATATAATTAAGAAAGCTCCTTCTTCGTCAGCCTGGAGGATTCTGCTATCTTCTGTCTTAATTAATGTTCATTAAACATGTCATATTAAATGCTAAAAGCTGTCCTGGTCGGTCTTGCATTGCGATAATGCAGAAGGGTAACGCTTCGTTCGATATCTATTGACACATCTATCATTAGACATTTAGAAGCACAAATCCTTTTTACTTTGAGCCGTATGAAGGAAAATCTCCCTTTAGTTCCTTTCTTTCCTGTAAAATGGAAATTTTAAAAAATGTATCATTTTTTTGAACCTTTTCTACCACTTACGTTTCCAGGCTTTTTAAAGCTACTTAAACTTAGGTTTTCAATGTATGCAGGATTCTACTGGCTGAGTTCATTTGCACGCTACTACTGCTTTTTAATTTACAAATCAATAAAATGCATCTTCCCCTGTCGAACCAATTATATTTGATTTAGAAGCTCTACAGTACAATAGCATCTCTGCTCCGCCAGAGAATGGAATTCATTGTTCAAAGAAAAATCACCTCCCACCAGATTTATCATCCAGAGTTTATTTTTCCTCTCTAGAAAACATTATTTATGTATTATTACTCTATCAAGCAGATTAATCAAGCAGTGAATTATTTTAGATGCTCTCGAGGGAAGGACCAGCACCACGCAATATTACCATAACACGTGGCATGAAATAACACAGCTTTATGTGATAAATCTGTCTTAGTTCTCTGGCTTTTTTAAGGTGCATTTCACAAGGATCAGGGAAACGTTTGCGCTGTCAGTTCTCATTGGCAATGTTACTGCTGATAAGATGTGGATGCATGGAGCCATTTTAAAGGGAAAGAAGAGGGTTATTTTATGGATTTTATTTCGAAATAAATGTCCTTTGCCCATCCAGCACAAACTCAACTTCCCTTGGCTCCCCTCGCTGCTCCATTTAACCACTGTGAGTGAAGTTGAATACCCTGTACTCATACATAGGGAAGCATGTGCCACATTCTCCTTCTTCCCAAATGGCCTAACAGAGAGGTGAAGGAAAGAAAGGAAAGTAACTGCAGGACCAGGTGCCGCCATTACAGCCTGTGCTTTGCACAGAGAACAGGTTCAGCTAAAAAAAAAGGTTATACTCACCTGAACTGCTGAGCCGACTGCCTACTTCTTCAATCTCTGAAGCCTGTCTCCTCTGAATGTTCCTCAGTGTCCTCACGTCTATGCACAATGTATAGAATGTAATGATTTACGGGACCTCAGACCACTGCAGAGGAGGGGGAGAGAGAGGCTCCATAGACTGGTGTAAGAGCCGTCCGACTCCGAGGATAAGGTGAGTATAACCTTTTTTTTAAGCACTTAGACACAAATGAGCACTTAACCCTTGCAGTGCAGGCAGGGCCGTCTTTAACGTGGGGCAATATGGGCAGTTACCTTGGGCCCAGTCATTGTTGTGGGGCCCAAAGCAGCTGCCCCTTGAGTCCACAAAAGATATACATGCAGCACCGCTTTGTTAACTATGCGATCGATTGGAATCGCATAGTGTTGCTTCACCCCTGCTGTACGCCACGTGGAGAGTCAAATTGCATGGCAGGGAGGGGGGGCCCCAAGAAAATGTTTGCCCACTCAATATTAAAGACAACCCTGAGTGCACTGAAAAGGGTTCTGCTGTAAAGCCTTTCGCGGGGCAAAGCAAAAACTACCATTGCAGTGTGTCTGCCCTCTCTCTGCCCAGAGTATAGGTGTAACATGAAACATAGTCAGAAAAAGTAAACTTAGTCTTAAAAGCTTTACTAACCCTTAGATTCTTTGAAGGCAGCACTGGATCATTTCAGGACCAGTGCCACCTTCACAGAATCCAATCCACACCTTCATGATTACAAATCTCAGCAAAGCAATTTACAGCAATGCAGAATACTAAGACTGGGATGTCATTAGAGTTTATAATCCTAACCTAGCCCAGCTGCTAGCTTCCTGGCAAGCAGTGACTCTGAGCAAGCCACACAGCCTCATTGGTTGCTAGGACACAGACAGAGGTTTGGCAGGCAGATGAACTACCTGCCGGGTCGAAATCATGATCGACCAGAACACATTATAAGATTGATCCTATTATAAGTAATGATACATTTATTGCTAAGCAGTATTTCTTCTACATTTTACAGTACCTTTTACAGTATCCATATATGTGGGCAAAGAAATAATATTTTTAATGATACTTTCACTGTAAATGGTCCACTAGCATTGGACTAAATTTGCCTATGTAATTGCCTTTGTAAAAAACATGGGGCATAAAGAGCATTTAGGAGAAAAATCCAGTGTTGTGCATGTGTCAGATCTTTTCATCTACAGTACATGCTCCTACATCCTAGCTGCAGAGTGGTGGGTGGATCTCAGACCCACTGTGTTGGTTCAGGAGCACACAGCACAGGGTAAAAATGTTGTCACCCTCTGGCAGGAAGTGCATCTGCAGGTGCTTAGTGGCAAGATCACCAGTTACAACCACAATGAAAAATGGACACCATGTTTAATGGAGACTAAGCTAATAGATTGTATGCTTTGTATTCTTGGCTTTACACACACTTCAAAAGAGTTTATTCATGTAAGTTTCTCTATCCTCTATATTCATCATTGCAAAGCTGCTTCCTGCGTTCACTGCTGTTTTAGCAACAGACATTTTTTGATATTCTGTTTCCTCTGGAAAATGCTCCTTTTTAGAGGTATTGTTTTATTGATGTCTGTAAAGGTCACTATCATCGCTTCTTTCTCTGTTCCCCGAAGAGCCTACTTTGCCTATAGCTGATTGTTTTTTTTTTTTCCTGCAAGCTATGCATTTTCTCCTTTCCCTATAGCTGCTTATCCTTGCTTTCTATATTTCCAGCAATATAGTGAGTGGCAGGAAATGATCATATTGAACCACTGTGCACTGCCATCATGAGGCGAGCCTTTACCACTGAGATAAAATCAATCATTTATGGTGATGTACACTTTAAGAACACACACGCTGACAGCGTACAAAACTAACACGGCTACATTACAATAGAGAGGGTTTTACAGGTATTATCCACACTTATCATTGAAAGATGACAGCTGCCATTGTTATCCCACGGTATACAGCAGACACTTATTCCACTGGACAACCACCAAATATACTGTTATATCCTTTGTCTCCCTGAGAAGCTTACACTTTAATGCCTTCAAAATAGATAATATCTGTGCATAGACAAATATCTGATCAGTTTCACTGAATAGTCTGGGAGTTGCTCAGATAAAATGCTGATGTATTTATGATGAACATAGAAAGATCTCCCATAGCAGTTATGGAGCAGAGGGGCAATAGCCCCCTGGGCCAGTACTAATAAGATATTTTGGGTTGGTGCCCTGAGTAGAGATACATCACCATTCAGACATTGATCAGCGCAGCACCTGTGAAACATGGAGGACATTATATAGCTACCTGCTCCCTTATTTAGACCTACTTGCACAGCATATGGCAGAAGGAAGTCTTCCAGCATCAACTTCCATTGTGGCTCTGAGATGTAATGTTACCATATGGTGGGAACTGCAAAGAAAGCCAATTAAATGTGTGTCTGAACCATGCCCTTTAGTATCACCCCCCTTATTTTGACCTACTGCTCCCTTATTTTGATCTACTAGCACAGCATATGGCAGAAGTAAGTCTTCCAGCACCAACTTCCTTTGTGGCTCTGAGATGTAATGTTACCATCTGGTGGGAGCTGCAGAGAAAGCCAATGAAATGTGTGTCTGAACCATGCCCTTTAGTATCACCCCCCTTATTTTGACCTACTGCTCCCTTATTTTGATCTACTAGCACAGCATATGGCAGAAGTAAGTCTTCCAGCACCAACTTCCTTTGTGGCTCTGAGATGTAATGTTACCATCTGGTGGGAGCTGCAGAGAAAGCCAATGAAATGTGTGTCTGAACCATGCCCTTTAGTATCACCCCCCTTATTTTGACCTACTGCTCCCTTATTTTGATCTACTAGCACAGCATATGGCAGAAGTAAGTCTTCCAGCACCAACTTCCTTTGTGGCTCTGAGATGTAATGTTACCACCCCCCCCCCCCCCCCTCTTGCCATGCCCACCAATCTCTGCAATACCATGGTACACTTTATTTAGCCAGCATAAATCTATCCCTACCATTAAAGGGCCATTTGGTTGTGTAATCCAAAGGTCCCCAGTCCCTCCTTGCTCAAGGGCCCATTAGAAAGAGTTTACCTATTAGTAGGAACAGGCCTTGTCACTGCAATGGGGCCCAGTTGCATAAAGGACTCACTCCTGTCTAGTACAATAATTATTTATAAAGTTAACAGTAGCATAAGGGAAATAATTAGGACACAGGATTGTAGATACAGTTCATCTTTTTTTAAAGACAGACCCAGAGATAATGAACGGAGGGGCTACATGAGTGGGGGGAAGGAATTGTCCCTTGGGAAGGGGTTATAAAAGTGAGAAATCAGCAGATCTTACCTTAAGCTGCACACCCTTCCTTATTTACTGTTGATGGCAGTTGAAATAGATGTTTGTCATGGCAGATTGGCAGGTTAGGGTGTCTTTGAGGGTCTGTAAAATGTGAGACAGTCACAAAAATGGGGGGGAGGGGCATCTGGTATTTCCCCCATTGATGTCAGCTGTTGATGGGGTATTGGCCGCTTGGGAATTCGGTGTTCGTTAATTCTGGAGCGGTCCTCGAGGTGATAGGGGTTTGGCTGGGACAAGGGGCGGATTTAGTAAAGGCCTTATTTTGGGTGATGGACACCCCCTTCTTGTAACCAACAGTCGTTTAGGGTATTTATTTGGTATGTTACCTTGGTTATTATGTTTGGTAACTGTTAATTGTTATATGGTTAAATAAATCCATGTCGCGCAGTTTGTGTGTTTATTGGGAACTTAACAGAGGTGACAGAATTGATGAATCCATAAGTCAGTACAATTTTTCAGTCCATAATAGAAGTCACCAGCACTCGATGATATGTGCAAGAAGTAAAGCACTTTTTATTGAATCGTCACATGCGTCAAACAGCCAACGTTTCGGGGCCACGCAGGGTCCCTTCTTCTGGGCGACATAGTGACAACAGCAAGTATGCAACAATACAGTACAATTTTGCAAACACAGGAGCGTTCAGTACAAGTTACAGAATGCCATTATGCTCTGCTCACAAGCTTTCCATTTAGTAAGATGGCTCAGCACAGACATGTACTCTGTAACTTGATTTGCATTGTGATGCATTTCTTTAAAACTGAACTCTTTGCAGCTATAAAATGACTAAATGCCACTCTGCAATCACTAATATAGCATTAATTTGTTTTAGTACAAGCAGTGTAAGCACCTGTATTTGATCTAATATCAGTTTCTTGTAGTCCCTGTACAGCAGTGTAAGAGGAAGAGGGAGCACAAATAGCCAATCAGTTCATTTGCGGACAAGAAGCATGCTAATAGGAGGAGAGATCGGAGTGACAGAGAGATAAGCTTGTCACTGGGCTGCTTCTCTTTTCACTGACAAGTAACAGATTGGGTTGGGACCAAAATGACCTGGGTTCAGAGGAAATTAGTTGAATGATGCTGGCCATCAGACCGAGGATAATTAGTGGCAGAAAAAAATACTGTGGGAGAAATCTCTGGTTTGTCTTATCTTTTGTTTTGATTGGCTATCGTTTTTTTTTTAATCTTATTTTTTCTGGATTGCAGTCTGCTTTAAAATGAAAGTGGAATGCAGTATCTGTGATTGACAGCAGCAGTGGGCGGGTGCAATAGCTAGTCTGTTATTGGCTATTGCAAATTGAAATAGCAATCTAGCTATTAGTTCCTATGCCGATTTAACTTTTTTTTTCTGACGGCCCCAATGTCGGAAAAAAGAAAAAAAACAGACAGCATGGAAAGGTTTTCTCTGCTAGATCCAGCAGAGTAAACCATTCTGGGAGAAAATATCTTTCCGGGAGCCGATATCTAATAGCAGGAGACTGCCGAAACATCCGGGAGAGTTGAGATGTCTGCACTCTGCTGTAGATCTTTAAATCATTTCTGAATTGGTGCTGATACTGTCTTTGCTTCTGGAGGGGGGCTACTTTTGTTCTCCATGGTCCCTGTGTGTGTTGTAAAGTAGCCACCGCTCCAAGCTCACTCCTGTGATAGACTACAATCTCATGTTTAGTTTACTAATTTGTATTCAGATTGTAGTCTATCATCCGAGCAAGCTTGGAGTGGTGGCTACTTTACAACACACACAGGGACCATGGGGAATATAAGTAGCCACCCTCCAGAAGGAAGGACAGTGAGATGGTTTAAGGGTCTACAGCTGAGTGATACACAAATAAGATACATGTTTGTTAATAGTAAAGATACTTGAATGCATTTTTAGGATGTAACTCCTGAGTTTAATGTCACTTCAAGCAGATAAGTAAAATTTAAATGGTAAATCAGCTAAAGACATTTCAGGAGCATCAAAACGAAAGGTGTGAATGTTTTTCACTTTATTTTTTAAAAAAAGAAGAGCCTGCCAACATGCTGTGGAGAAGGATTTTTTTATGGGGAATTAGTGGTCATTCTTCAGAGATACAACTGAGTCAGAGCCAGAACTTTCTAATCTGCAGCGAGCATGAGTTTTTCTGACTGCAGAGCTATTGCTCTGACTCAGCAGGGGGGGTGTTGGACCTCTGCAGAGAGACCACTGCTTGGGTTTGATAAAGAGTTGCGCTAATATCGTGCAACATAAAAATGTGCAACTGCCACTATTTTATTTTACAGGGTCTTGGCTTTCAGAAAATATATAATTTGGTGATTGAAGTAACTTTCAGGCCTAAAATGTGGGTTATAACATGTGTGCAAAAAAAGGAAAAACAAAAGGCCTTGGCAGCAAAAGGGTCCTTATGGGGTTAAAAAGGCAGGAGAAATACAAATATAGCATTTTCCCTGCCTCTGTAAAACTAAAAGTCTTAGCACCCTTTCTTTGCATTTCTCCTGTCCCTGTGGAACTACAAGTCCCAGCACACACTTACTTTATGTCCTTATGCATGTCAAAGGCTATGCAATCAACACATGACAGACACATCACAAAAGCAACTAACTGAGAGCACCTAAAAGCATGATTTGGTATGCCTGCATGTGACTTGCTTAAAATAGCCTCCTGATGCTGCTAGGTAGGAAGGACTGCGCCTGCTGGTTTGAAGTTTCTGAGTCCTTGTCAGAGAGAAGAGGATGTGAGACTTTAAGGACGGGGAGCATTCCAGCTACTTTAAATATAATGCAGTTTAAAGATCTTAAAGCGGACTGTGCATTAAAATGCACGGTCCACTTATTAGATCCAGATCCCTCCATCTGTGAAAATTGCCGATTGATAGTCTCTGAAAAATGTACCTGTAATGAAAAAAGTTAGATCTACTTATCTTATCACCTTCTTCTGTCTTCTTACTCTAGTTCCTGGGGAGAGGT